CTCTGTGGCACTCGCAGGTGCGGCGAGTGCTAAGAGAGCCCGGCACTCTTCCCGGCTCCTTATTCATCGTCGGGCATCGCTGAGCTCCTCATTCCGACGCCAGCTGCGCTACCGGGTCAGCACCGCATGGTCGCGCATGGTATCTTCTGCAGGGCCCGACACGCGCTCTCTCTTGTTCACGAAGCGGACGCAAGGGCGCGGCGGCTTTCGCTGCAATGAAACCGTTTAGGTGCGTCATGCGAGGAAAGCCGCGCGCGCGCCATCTATAATGACTATTTTACGGATGAGTGTTAGTGCCGCCATACTGGGCGGTCAACTTTCGTGTTACGCATCTTTGACAACTAAACTGACGGTTTTGCGGCTGACGCATACGTGTGAAAGCGGTTGAATAGGTGCATACGATGTCTCATGGCATCACTATACTTTTTCACGTCGCGATGTACAAAAAAAAAGAAGAAAACATCGGCTTAACAGCCCAAGAATGTCGGCACCCATATGTATGAGGAAAACAGTCTAAGAAGGCGTTACGTCACTTCCACAGCCTCGAGGAGAGAGGGCGAAGGAAAGGAGAGGACGCCACGATAACCCTCACTAACTAGGCACTGCGCCGTGTTTCCTTACGGCAGACAGAAATTAGGTGACTTCTTCAAGAATTGCTATCACCACCACAACTACGCCGGGACGAAACGCGAACACGAAGGAAACAAAGACGCAAGGTGAATTTTTAACTTATTCGGAGCTTTTTCGGGACGAGGGCGCCGCAATGGCGTATGGTCTTAAACGGAGAATTCTGTCCGTGTGTCGCGGTTAGATAAGGTTTACCTAAATTTTCGGCTCATTATGTTATATCGGGAAGAATACCGTCATCTGCTGTCGCTCATTTTAAATGGTTTAGACCAGCGTACTGAGCGATGTCAGAGCACACTTTCGAGAAAAGGAGACGGTCAAAATATTCGGGGCCCTCCACCACAGCGTCTCTCATAATTATATCGCAATTTTGAAGCGTAAAGTTCCATATATCATTTACATTATTATTCTGTCGCTTCTTTTGTGCTACGTCTGCGCGGTGACCGTTCTTACGTCAAACATTGAACGCTATGTTGAGCGGAAAGGGACAAGGAAAGTGGCAGTTTGCTATCTCTTCCGGGTGATGAAAAAAAAAAAAGTTGTTGCTCTTCCTGGTTAGAGCAGTGAGTGTTACTTCGCCTTCTTTTTTATTTTTTGTTTTTTATTAAAGCGAAACAATAAAACGAGGAAGGCTCGTGACGCAAAGTGGCCGCCCTGACCTCTCGTTCACACTTCAAGAAAGCCAAAGTGTGCCTGAAAGGCAGGAACCGTGTGCATAAAGCAACAACAAAAAAAAAACGGATGTTTTTTTTAGCCCCCAATCGTCTTCTCCGCTACGCTGCGGTGACTTGGCCCGACAAAAAGTAAACCTCCCCGCCAGCTTCCTGCATTTGAGCGGTCGTTATACGTTAAGGACTCTGGATAGCAGTGGTAAAGCCGATGAGAAGACACATACATATATACGTTAAAAAAAAAGAAGTGTGTGAAAGAAAAGTTGACGGCGCGTGTCAGACACAAGAATGTGTCGGGGGGAGGGGGTGGAGTGATTTTGAATGAAAAGAAGAGAAAAGTAAGCCCCGTAACTGTCTCTCAGGGGGAGGACACCTCAACAGTAGCTTAGAGGGAGGGGGGTAGAGAAGGGATTAAACGGATAGGATTACAAAGATAGGATTAAAAGGTAAAGGTAGATAGAAAGGAAGGAGAGAGCGAGGCGCAGGGACAGCTAACGACGGAAGTAAGGAGAAGACAGGAAAGATGGACACGGTTGCAGGAGTCCGAGGACGGGGCACCACGGGCGAGAGCTCTTGTCTTTCTGGTCCTGCTCGCAGTTGACGCGGCCTGTGTTGAAAGTCAGGCTCGACTTCGTGTGTGGATGTATGGATGTTTGTCTCTGCATAAGTGGCCACAGTCCAGAGGGTCCTTGAGAGCGCGGAGATGATGCATTTTCTCCCGGCTCCAACATGGGATTATCCGACAGCAAGCCGGCGTTCCTCTGTAGGACTGTATTGGCTGGCTCCTCAGGACCTTAATAAGGGTCCTTGTCTGTCTGTCTGTCTGTCTGTCTGTCTGTCTGTCTGTCTGTCTGTCTGTCTGTCTGTCTGTCTGTCTGTCTGTCTGTCCCATTTTAAAGTGAATTGCATTGCTTACTATGAGTTATAAACTCTTAACGCGATGAGGCTACACTACGGTAGGGAGTACTTGGCCGGAAATGGTTTATGCAAAGTACATTATCACGTTTTACCTAGAGTTGACAAAATGTCGTTTTTGCATAGGCCTATAGCTCTACATCGGTCACGTGCAGCTGTACTACAGTGAAACCTGAGGAAGTATGTGGGCAAGCCAGCGATTCCCTTGGCGCTTGCCACCGCCTCGGCAATCGCGTGCTTGCCGAGGTGGTGGCACCCTCTCTCGCGCGGCGCGGGTATTAGCCGCATGTCTACGATGCGTTGTTGGCGATTGCAGGTTAATCACTTCGATTAATTCTTGATTGGGTCTGTATTTCATATTATTTTACACCTTGTCATTTTGAGCATTGCAACTATTGTTTTAACCCTGTATTGATAACAGCGTGACCATGCGGAATGAAACGGTAGATGGACGGCCAGCAGGGCCACTGAGGTGCTGCGCGCCTAAAACAAGGCATGTTTGAACCCATTATCGGCATGAAAATAGCGTCCTTGCTTGAACGATGACCGCTATGTTACACAGTGCCTAAGTAACTTGGAAACACAAAGAGCGCCCCGCCGCGGTGGTCTGGTGGCTAAGGTACTCGGCTGCTGACCCGCAGGTCGCGGGTTCGAATCCCGGCTGCGGCGGCTGCATTTCCGATGGAGGCGGAAATGTTGTAGGCCCGTGTGCTCAGATTTGGGTGCACGTTAAAGAACCCCAGGTGGTCGAAATTTCCGGAGCCTTCCACTACGGCGTCTCTCATAATCATATGGTGGTTTTGGGACGTTAAACACCACATATCAACCAATCAACACAAAGAGCGAACGAATCGTTTTTTTTTTCAGGAGTACCTGGACTTTTTTTGCGGCACAATTCGTGACGCTATCAGTCCGTTCACGTGTCGTCACGAGGAAATAAGTACTCGGTTGGACCATATACGATAGATATCGGTTGTGAATTGACTCCTACTCTGCTTGTTCATGCAGTCTTGCGCCCCTTCTGCCCTGCGTCGCGTGGCTGTCGTGCGTGATCAAGTGATTTCCCTTCGTTTCGTGCGTTTTCGACTTCTCTAGCGGAAATAGCGTGTAGCCGATAAGCACGGAATCCTGATAGGCTCAGCGCTGAGAGCTGACATCGTCAACGTGTTTTCACGAAGAAATAGGTGGCAAGGAGTGTACTTTATAGGAATGGTGGTGGGAATGGTGGTGACTCTCTCGTCTTCGGAGTTGTTTAGGCGCCCCTTAAACTTCATTTGACGATCGCGTGAGTACACGGCACGCGTTATAGGTGAATGAACTTCGAAAACACTGTGCGTAGATGTCTTGGGAAATTTTCGGGTGCTCCTCTGTGTGCAGACAGTTGCAATCTAGGTGGCTGCGAAGGCCGCAGTTTGAGCCGGCGCCGATAACAGAATCCTTGGTGGGCGGGACGCTCGCGAGGCTTCGGTGAAACCCCGATGGCGCGCTGTTGACAGCGGCTTATTGTGCGAAGAGAGCCCGGGAACACACGACTTTCTGCCGCGTACAAGCTTGCCAACAGGCAGCGTCGGCGTCACGTCGACAATGAAAATAAAGAAATATTTGCGAGCCATATCTCGGAAAGATTGACTTGAATGTAGTGGGTCGGTCGGCCTGTAGCGCTATTTCTGATTTGTCGTTTTTGTTTAGTTTTGAATAAACTCGGAAAGATTGACTTGAATGTAGTGGGTCGGTCGGCCTGTAGCGCTATTTCTGATTTGTCGTTTTTGTTTAGTTTTGAATAAACTCGTTTGTAATAAAGCTTTACCAACCAACCGACGACATGGGAAGCCTGCGCTGCCTTGTTGTTGGCCTCTCACAATGGCTCATATACCTATAGTGTGTGGAGGGTGGGGGGTATTGACCGAGCAGCGAATGGTTTTTCTCATTAAGTTCTACAGGGCAACCTTACTATGTACAGTCAAATACAACCTAAGAACTACGGAGAGGTCCCTGCCAGACGACTGAAGCGTGGCAGCCGATCACCTGTGTGACTAAAGAAATAGTCCCGCGCATGCGCTCTGTGATGCTCACCGAAGACAGAGTCCCCGGCGGTCCGGCCCCTGACGTCAGCCCGAAGCGCGCGCCTATTGGTGCAGGCATGTGTGCATTTGCCTGTGAGGTGCTGTGAACTTCCTAAGTTGTATTTGACTAGGGACGCTGCAGCCCGACGTATTAGAAACTTCGTAATATTTCCCTTCGCTATGTGAGTTTCACGTATACGTGGAGTAGCGATAGCCTTTGAGTAACGCGACACGTCCAATGAGCGACGAATGAGCGTTGTGAGCTCATCGGCTCTAAACATCCTTCCCAGCAATTATACTGACTTTTACATTTATTCAAGACTGACGCACTTCCAGCGACTTTCATCTTTTTTTTCCCCCTTGTGCATTGCACTCACAGCGCAAACCGTCGTTGAAGTAAATTTCACTTGCGCACCAAAACTTTCCCGCTTGTTTTTCCACCTGATTCATCTTCACCCGTATAGCCTGCTGCTCGTCTCCTCTTTGCGGCGTATATCGTACGAACGGTGTTTTATGCAACAGCCCCCCATTCTGCGTGGCATCTATCCTCACTCCTCGCGAATTACCGCGTGGCTGCGATTCTTATCGAATGTGGTCGCTTTTCTCGTTATCTTTACGCCCATCAGTGGACGGACGCTCCGGAGGAAAAGCGCGCGAGCGCCGATAGGCGCTTATCGATCACGGCTAATATTCGCGGCCAACGTGTTTATCGAAGAAGGCATACCTTGCGGTGGGTGCGCCTCACGGCGATGCCATCTCCCTCAGAAACCGTGGTAGTGGTACGTGCGGCGTCGACTGAGACTCGACGACGATGCCATCACCGACAAACGATGCCCCGAGGCTTTAACACTAGTAGTAGTAGCAGCAGCAGTAGTAGTAGTCCGCACCGGAGAGAAAGAAGACGCAAAACCCGCTTCAGTTCACGTTGCCGTATCTTCACTCGTTCAGTCGAGCGGCGTGACTCTTCTTCTTCAGCTGGAGCATCGGGCGGCGGGAGAGACTTGACTGACTGTGCGCCACTTCTTCCTCGTCGCGGCGTTCTCGATTCTCGGGCCGGGGAGCCCTCTCGCTCGAACGCCTTCGTCCGTTTCTTCTTCTTCTTCCTCACTCGTCTGCGACGACCAAGCGCACTCCGCGGTTCGCTGCCCCCTTCGAATTCGCAGGCCGCTGTCGAAAGCGAAGCGCCTTTCCCTTTCTTTTTCTCTGGCGCGAATCTTGGGAGGGCCACCGTTCTTGGCTAATGCCGAGGAAGAAGATCCGCGCCCTCCTCTGCTTCATCTCTCTCCTGCCGCACGCGGCACCCATGTCCCCGTGTGCGTTAGTATGTATACGCTCGCCAGAGATCGCGGAAGTCCATACCTGAATCGCGCCGTACCGTGCGCCAAAGAAAGCCGCTGCTGGCGATGAGCCCTTTCGCAACGGTCGCGGAACGAACGCCTCGGGGTGGTTGGAGGAGCGAGTGGGCGCGTATGTTTTTTTTTTCGGCGTGCGTACCTTACTTTATCCGCCATCTCTCACGGTACTCACGGCGGCAAAACGCGTGCCACGATCAGATGCGTGGTGTTCCTCTTGTCAAAAGGGCCCCCTCCCTTCCGGTATTGTTTCGGATTTCCTTCAACCCTGCGCGGCTGTATACGTCACGGGGACGGTCTGATGAGATTGGTCTCGCAAACGTGGAGGAGGCAATTAAGATGTGGCGGCCGTTTGGCCTCACTGCCAAAGGGGGCGCATGGGCACTAACGGGCCAAACGATCTGCGAGAGGTGTGCGCACTCGGGCGTGAGATATTGGACGGCACACGTCTGTTTGGGATCTGGTGCGTTTACGTGCCATGACCTAAGGCATAGCCCGATTTCCAGCGTATATCAGCGCCGTCATTGCCTTCTAATACGTCTGAACGCACCTTAAGAAACCTCGAGTTGATAGCTTCTGGATCTTATGAGCGAAACTGAGTACCTGCTTACTGCTTCGGAAGGTATACGGGCAGTTCTTTCCAGTCTAAACGTCCCCGTTTTGACCGTGGCGAAAGGCACGTTGTCACTACCTGCAGGTTGATATCGAAGTGAGCTCGTTGATTCCTTGAAGCAAGGCGAATAGACGGCATGACTCAGTTAGTCGCCCGTTGGCGTAGCTAGGCGTGTTATGCGCCGTGCCTGTGATCTCGAAGCCCGTTCTTTATTTATGTTGTTAAATTGAGCAGCTCGAAAGTTGCAAGGTGCAGTGTTCGTTTCGCGTTTTTCTTTCAGAATGCAGTGAGGTATGCCTCGCGTCTGTTAGTATATATATAATCGAGAGTGACCCCCTGGACGACAGTTCATCATTATTGCGTTTGCACTTCCCCAGTCGCGCACGATTGCTTTCGAGCCGGAACGCGCGCTCAAAGACCAACAGCAACCGCTGTGCCTCGAGCGTGCGCTGGTTCACATCGTCGTTAGTACGCCGACCTCCTGATTTAGAAGTGTCGAGGTCCGCATTTAGCGCGACAATCATCGCCGGCTCCGCGGCCACCGATTAGCGCTGACCAACCCCATATAGGGTCGGTATATACATCCAGACCTCGGCAACCGCGGAACCACCAGATTCGGCGGCTCGCCCCGAGGGCCTACTGCGATTCCCTTGTGCCTTCGGTCGCGTTCGATAAACGGCGATATCGGCGGTGGTTTGGTACGGAATTCAGCGCATGCCTGTCCCACTGGGTGCCGATTCTCTGCGGTCCCGTGTGGAGAATTTCGTAGTTCCCACAGGCTTGCGTGTATCCGTAGGAGCGACTATTCTTTCCTCGCCCTGCTGCGGCTTCTTACACGTATACGTCTGTGCCCGAGGAAGGAACCGTATCGCAGGAAGGGGAGGCGTCCGCATCGAAGACACGCCGTCGCGCTCCCCACGTTCCCTTCCTTAGCGTTGTGCCCCCGAAGTGGCACGCGCTCCAGGAAGTTCAGCTAGGCGTCGACCCCCGCCGGGGGGACCCAGCGTGACCCGTGGTGACGACGGCGAAAGCAGAAGCCCGTGCCGTCGAGCGGCGACGTGCACGTACACTCTTTCACCCGGCGTCGATTGTGCAGCCGACCCGTCTTGATAGTCCGAAGGAAGGAACTGAACGCGCAAAGCAACCTGCTTTACTACGTCCCGCGGTCAGAGGTTGAGGTTGCGCGCAATCGTCGGACTGCTGAGCGCAAGGTCGGCACCGCGCCGCCGCCACTGCCGGTCGTGTTTCTCGCGCGTTTTGATCGTGGCAACAAGTGCGCGGAGCCATAGAAGGACAAATTCATATCCACCCGATATCGTGCGCGCGCATACAGCACGCACGCTGCCACACGCGAAGTTCTCTATACGGGGTCAAAAAAAGCGCGGGATGTTGTACGCGTAGACTTGCTGCACAGGCTTCGTGTGTACCGACCATTCCGCGTAAATTTTCCGGCCGTGTGCGCGCACGTCTTATGGTCTATAGACATTGTGTTGTTGGGCAAACGGTCGAAGAAAAAAAAAGAGCGTTGTACAGACGTGCGCGCTACTTTCGTTTATGGGACTTTGCACTGTTTTCTCATTGCGCTGTACGACAGGTGACGTAACGCCGACGCCGTGACCCACATATCGGCCGTTTTATGTATTACACGAGCGTGCCTCCGTCGAGGCTGATGTGGAGGCTGAGCGACCGCGAGCAAGCATGACTGCGGCCTGGAAATTCCCGCGGTTTCGTGCTGCTGTCTGCTCCGCGTTGCACACGCATTACAAAACGGGTCGGCTTCGATATACCTGATACCGTCACGTTCGCCATCGTTCGCCCGCTTTCATTGTATCGTTCATTCCACGATGTGGAATTGCTGGATACCTCGCGGTGATTTAATCAGTTAGGCGAATGCACTTGTCGGGTTGATGCATTGGTACAAACTGGTATGTTACCGCCCCTCGAGAGTGGGCACTACTTTGGTAGTGTCGTACTTCATACAACTCGATTACGTCGTCAGCCCATACTGATGACCGATTGCGAGCCAAAAGGCATTCGTTCTGCATGAAATACCGTTCTCCGGGCTTATCCGCTGCTGAGCAACGGTATGTTTAGTTCCTACACCGACAAGTGTTGTGAACCTCTAGTTGGGGAACTTCAACACGGTCCCGGGCAAGTATAAGTACTATAGCTTCCTGTATTTGATGCACCTAAGCGCACCCTAGAAAAGAAACTAATATGCAGCCTTAGGTTTGATGATGGTATCCGAACATATGTGGCGTCAAAACATCATGGGTGGTTATCGAAGGTGACCCTTTTACGGGCAGTTAATGCATGCGATCATTCCGACGTGCCCGATACCATGCGGACTTTTCGCGATGAACAAGTTGAATCGCGGTGTCATTGTTGAGTTCCTCAACGCGGTTGTAACAGCTAAAGTTCTCCGCGTTTATTCGTCGTTGCGTCGAGCGTACCTGAAAACAGCTGACGAGGGAAGTGTCACTATAGCCCCGCCGCGGTGGTCTAGTGGCTAAGGTACTCGGCTGCTGACCCGCAGGTCGCGGGTTGAAATCCCGGCTGCGGCGGCTGCATTTCCGATGTAGGCGGAAATGTCGAGGCCCGTGTGCCTAGATTTGGGTGCACGTTAAAGAATCCCAGGTGGTCAAAATTTTAGGAGCCCTCCACTACGGCATCTCTCATAATCATATGGTGGTTTTGGGACGTTAAACCCCACAAATCAAGTGTCACTATATACATTGGACCCTGGTACGATGTTTCACGTGCAAGATCGACTTCAGTCGAAACCCGGCTATACAGCGTCTGAAGGGGACCAGGAAAAAGTTCAATATAAGTAATTCGATATGCAAAATACTTTTTATTTTGAAAATGTTCTCGAGGAATTTTCAAAACCGTTCGATATATTCAATAATTCGCTATAGGTGGGTTAGATATGTGAGGTTTAGACTGTACAAGCTGTTGGGCACGTCGAGGCGATTGACTCAACCTATGTCCCGTGTAGATGATTTTACGTAAGACATGCGGGCCTCGGGAATAAAAGTAGGCCGTTAATCGAATGTTTCTCAGCTTTGTATATATCGCAACGTGAATTGATTAGGTCATGCACAAAACGTCGAATGCACCACCTCAAACGTTTTTCATGCGTATATAGACTCGACCGTATAGCACTGTTCGTTTAGTTAAACACACAAAGCGGTAAGTTTGACAGCCCAGTTGGGTGGCACCGATATTCTATTCGCAAGCCATCATGAGACGATCCGCAAAATATTTGATAGAAAAATGAAGGAACTTCTGTACCCATAGACCATTCGTAAAATAGTCTATAGGAAAAAGAAAGCACGTCGAGCTCCCACTGCTTATTACCTTCATTCTGCGCACAGCTCTCACTGGTGAAAGTGGTCTATCCGCAAGCCATCATAATACTACCCGCAAAATAGTTAATAGGAAAAGGAAGAAACTGTGTAGACCATTCGTAAAGTTGTCTATAGGAAAAAGAAAGCACGTCGAGCTCCCACTGCTTATTACCTTCATTCTGCGCACAGCTCTCACTGGTGAAAGTGGTCTATCCGCAAGCCATCATAATACTACCCGCAAAATAGTTAATAGGAAAAGGAAGAAACTTCTGTGTAGACCATTCGTAAAGTAGTCTATATGAAAAAGAAAGCACGTCGAGCCTTATTACCTTCATCCTGCGCACGATGCCTCCCTCAAGCTCTCGCCGGTGAAAGTGGTCTATCCGCAAGCCATCATAATACTATCCGCCAAATAGTTAATAGAAAAAGGAAGGAACTTCTGTGTCTGTAGACCGTTCGTAAAATAGTCTATAGCAAAACGAAAGCACGTCGAACTCCCACTGCTTATCGCCTTCATCCTGCTCACGATGCCTCCCTGAAGCTCTCGCCGGTGGAAGTGGTCATCGCGCGAGCGCATCTCGCCCCGAAGACTTTCCGCGGACGAACGTGCGGACACAGAACGCGTGCAACGTTACGTCGAAGGGCGCATTGTTGTCGTCCGACGCGCAAGGTCACGCGGTCTCGGCGGCGCGGTCGGCAGCGACCGGATGGGCTGATCGCATCACTTACCTGTCGAAGGTTGTGTTGTGGTCGGAATGAAGACTGCGGCTGGGCTGACGGCCGGCGTCCACGAGTGGGGGCTCTTGTTGGCTCGGCCGATGTGTGTCGCCGGCCGGTGGCCCACTTGCACCGCGGCTCCCATTGGTCAAGAGGCTCGGATCATGCCGGAGAGGTGAC